TTATAAATGAGCTAAATGTTTGAAACAAGCTAAATGTTTGAAACAAGCTAAATGTTTTAAATGAGCTAAATGTTATAAATGAGCTAAATGTTTGAAACAAGCTAAATGTTTGAAACAAGCTAAATATTTGAAACGAGCTGAATATTTGAAATGAGCTAAACGTTTGAAATGAGCTAAATGTTTGAAACGAGCTAACTGTTTGAAACAAGCTAAATGTTTTAAATGAGCTAAATGTTTGAAATGAGCTAAACGTTTGAAATGAGCCGTTGTTATGCTGCAGCTCTGAGAAGAAGTGGATTCAGTTTCTGCTGAACTGGATGTTATCGGACTTCCTGCCGTCTCCTCCTGAACACAGGAAGTCGCCCCGACAGATGGCCGACCGAGCCGAAATGTTTCTGATGGGTTTTTAAATCCCACCTGATACACAGCCGAAGAGGCAGGGGAAGCAGCCGAACCCAACAAACAGCTGCAGCTTGTCAGAAAAAATCAAACTGAATTTATCTGTTTTATTTTAGATCTTTAGTTAAATCTGTTCTGTTTAATAATCGGAGCCTTTTGAACGGGACAGTTTGATCRCTTTCTGTCTGCAGACGATCAGAACCGAGCCGGTCCAGCAGCAGGAACCTGACGGAGCCACGAGACGCCCGACAGAACCGAAGGTCAAACGATCGATGAGTTCAGATTCATGGTCCAACAGAACCTGTTTGTCTTCATTAAACCTGTTTGTRTTCAGRTCTATGTCCCTYAATGTTAAACCTCAGACAGAGGGAGCAGCGGTCAGAGCGCCCGCCTCACAGGAAGGAGGTCACAGGTTCAACTCCCATCATAAACTTTAAGTTGTGTTCGTTAAAGACTCAAAACTGTCTCCATGTGTCTCTGTGATGGACTGAGACATGTCCAGGTTCTCTTTTGTTCAGTTTAATAAAACTGTGTGCCTCTGAGCATCAGAACCTCTCTGCAATATTTATATGTTTGTTTGTTTGTTTGTTTGTTTGTTTGTTTGTTTGTTTGTTAACAGAGGAAACCGTCAACTGACTGGCTTCTGATGACTCTGATGTTTTAAGTCAATCTGATTTGTGGCAAAATGCTCAAATATGAAACTTGTTGGAGAAAAGAGACCAAACTCCTGTCCTCCACACGTGCTCACATCCACACAGATTAGAACCAAACACTCACCCACAGCGACGGCGTTCTCCGACAGGAAGTGGCTGCAGGGCACGCTGGCCGTGCTCACGAAGGAGTCCTCGTCGGTGGTCACCGTGGTCCTGGATCTCAGAGACGGGTTCGGGGAGTCGGTCACCATGGCCATCCTGGCCGCCACAGCCTCCATGACAGCTGARGGGTCCGGCCCAAATCCCAGGAACTAATCCAGAGACGTTTTTGAATCCAAATGTTCCTTTAAATCCGTGACGGAGGTGGTTGAAGGTTCTGGAGGGGAGGAGGGTTTATCTGACCAGGAAAATCCTCCAAAGGAAGCTTGATTTGATGTAAACACAACAAAAACAGACTTCAGTCAGACCCTCCAGTGTTTTTGTTGACAAGCTCAGATTTTTGATGCTCCAAGTCTGTCAGAAACCAATGCTTGGTGGTTCTCCTGGTCCAAACAGACCCGCAGGCAGGTCTGAACTGGTTCCTGAAAAACAGACAAAAATCAAATGTTTTTCTTGCCTCTGAGCAGTTTTTAAAAAAGAAATGATACCTCAAAGGAATGCATGAGACCCTCCGACTTTCATGTCAAAGTTTTCAACAAAGATCTGAGCTTAGAGAACACGTCAAACTCAAGGCCCACGGGCCAAATGTGGCCCACCACGGCATTTTATGTGGCCCACGAGAACTTCAAAGACGTAATAATGTGGCACMTCAAATACAAAAAGTAAAAGAAAAAACACTTGTATTTAAGAAACGTGACATACACAATTTTAGCAATTTTGTCATATAAGAGTTTCAAAGTAAAACAGGAAGTGACATCAAAGAAAGGAAATCTCTGTTTTTTGTTCAAACACATTTTTCACCTCTCTGATGGAGACTCAAAATAATCTAAAGACACATCAGATTCTTCTCTACAGTCTGTTCGTCGTTGTAGCAACGCTCTGTTTACATGCAGACYTTCCCCTGTGACATCACTTCCTGTTACTGAACATGTGAACGTCTCAACAATCGTTCATCTCAGCAGAGCAATTGTTTTTGCAATTCGTGATAAATGTTATCTTCCCAAAAATGTTTCAGAAAGATGTATTGTTTTAAAATGATCTGCTTTAACGCCCGCATTGACCATAAATAATGCATGTCGATTATTTTACGCGCAAAACGAGCTGCACAGGGTTAAAACTTCACGTGTAAAATCTAAATTTTGCTGCATTTTTAAAACTTTAAATTCAAATTCAATTTAGTGAAATTTATTTTCAAACCAATGCAATTTCAAATTCTGCACATTCAGATTCAATCTGAGCAATTCAAATTAAATTCCTGCTGGGACAAGATTTACCGCACACGTTTTCACAACTACTTCTGCTGCAGCACCGTTGTACTGGGAAGTGGGAATTTCCCACTTACAAGTGGTAAATTTAAACAGGGGGACACCCTGGACAGGTTGGAAGTCCATCARAGAGACACAGCTAAGGAACCTCACATGCATGTTTGTGGTTTGTGGGACGAAACCAGAGAAAACCCACGTGTGTACAGGAGAACACTTCACACAGAGTTGAACCTGCGGCCGTTCATCTGTGAGGCAGCAGCTCTAACCGCTTCACTGCCGTGCTGCCAAGCTGAGTCAGCAGGTTGAATGAGACAGGTGGGTTTGTAAAACGAAACCTGGAGGCAGAGGACTGATACATTCAGAAAAATAATAACAATTATCGAATTTTAAAAGAGACTTTTAGCTGCAGTGTTACCGACACTACATCATCAACATCAATTTCCTTTGTTTACCTACCTTGTTGCTTTCGTTTCTCAGAATCCCACAAACAAATTCAATAAATAAACCCAAATACGGTTTTAAAACCTCGTCTTTTCAAAGCTGAAAGCCTCACTGTCTGCGCTGTCCGGCACCTTGTTAGAGACTAAAATGTGTTTTTAGTTGTGTGTTTAGTGGTGGGGGCGTCAGACGAGGCTGGCTCCGGCTACGAAACATGTTGGGAACTGTCTTCTTACAGAGGTTTGTCCATGAGCTGCACGTCTGGACGTGTTTCCTGCTGGCATCCAGCACACACTCCACCTGGTCACAGAGGAAGGTGTGGGTGTTGAATGAATGACTTCATTTAGGAGCTTCATTCTGTCATTCTGACAACATACTGTAACATTTCACCTGTTCAACCAGAGCCAACAACCACAGGCTGCTGTTAGCTGTTAGCAACAGAGTAGCAGTAAACACCTAGCNAGTTTATTAGAGCAAACAAACAAAGGCTGTTAGCTGTTAGCAACAGACTAGAAGCAAAAAGCTAGCTAGTTTGTTAGTGCTAACAATCAAAGCAACCAAAGTCAATGCTAGCTATTAGCAACAGACTAGAAGCAAACAGCTAGCTACTTTGTTAGAGCTAACAACCACAAGCTGATGTTAGCTGTTAGCAACAGGCTATTAATAAAAGCTAGTTTTTTTTCCATATGTAAACAGCTAACTAGTCAGACAGAGCTAACAACCAACGTCAATTGCTAGCCGTTAGCGACAGACTAGAAGCAAAAAGTTAGCTTGTTTGTTGGCGCTAACAATCAAAGCAACCAAAGTCAATGCTAGCTATTAGCAACAGCCAAGCGGTAAACACCGAGCTAGTTTGCTAGAGCTAACAAACACAGGTTGCTGTTAGCTGTTAGCAACAGAGTAGCAGTAAACACAGAGCTAGTTTGTTAGAGCTAACAAACAAAGGCTGTTAGCTGTTAGCAGCAGACTAGAAGCAAACAGCTAGCTAGTTTGTTAGAGCTAATAACCACAGGCTGATGTTAGCTGTTAGCAAGAGACTAAAAGCAAACAGATAGCTCATTTCTTAGCATTAACAACCAAAGCAACCAGTCAGATGCTAGCTATTAGCAACAGGCTATAAGCAAAAGCTAGCTTTTTTCCATATGTAAGCAGCTAACTAGTCAGACAGAGCTAACAACCAACGTCAATTGCTAGCCATTAGCGACAGACTAGAAGCAAAAAGCTAGCTTGTTTGTTAGCGCTAACAATCAAAGCAACCAAAGTCAATGCTAGCTATTAGCAACAGGCTAGCAGTAAACAGCTAGCTAGTTTGTTAGTGCTAACAACCACAGGCTGATGTTAGCTGTTAGCAACAGACTAAAAGCAAACAYATAGCTCGTTTCTTAGCATTAGCAACCAAAGCAACCATAGTCAGTTGCTAGCTATTAGCAACAGGCTATTAGTAAAAGCTAGCTTTTTTCCATTATGTAAACAGCTAACTAGTCAGACAGAGCTAACAACCAACGTCAATTGCTAGCCGTTAGCGACAGACTAGCAACAAACAGCTAACTAACCTGTCAGAGCTAACAACCAAAGTCATTAGCAACAGATTAGCAGTAAACACATAGCTCTTATATTAGCGCTAACAGTCAGAGGCTGTTGCTATCTGTTAGCAACCAAACTAAAATACCTAAATCTAAGTCTTACAACATAAAATTGTAAAACTAATCTTGTGTGTGTGTG